TCTTAGGAGATCATGAACTCCCTTGTTTGACCGTGAACTGCGACTGCTTCCTAGACGCCTTCACTTCACTGTTACGGGGCAATTGTCACGGACTTTGGAATTTTATTCGGTTTTTGCGCTTTTTGACCTCCAATTATCTCAAAATTCAACACCGACCCTTCCACACGTGCTAGGACCTGAAACGTATCAAAACAGGCACAACCTAGCATGAAATATGTCGAGGAACGATGAAATACTAAGCTAAACGAATAAGAAATGAGGGGTAAAATGTGTACATTTGGGCCCGAATCATGCATCCTAAGGGTATCATTGAGGACTTGCTTGTTAATATGCGTGCATTCACATATCGTGCATATTTTGTTATGTTGGACATAAATGAAGATGTGGATGTGCCTTTGATTTTGCGTAGACCATTTCTCGCCTCTGCCAAGGCGTTGATTGATGTGCATGTTGGAAAGTTAATTTGAGGGTTGGGGATGAACAAGCTACATTTTTCGTGTCTGAGATTGCAAATCATTCCCACTTGCATGATGACTTGGATTATTGCTGATTTTGAAACCGCACTCGCCATCACGAGTGCGGGTACTGATGATGGCCTTGAGCTCTGTATTTTGCTAGGTGAACAGACAACGCAGGAGTTGCAACTGGTGGAGCGGTTGGCAACACTATAGTGTGGCGAGTTTGTGGAGTTCGAGAAGCCGTTCAAGCAGATCTCATCCTCAACCCATATCACCACCTCTTTAGAAGAGCCACCAGAACTGGAGCTGAAGCCCCTCCCTCCTCACTTGGAGTATGCATTCCTCCGAGAGGGGAATAAACTTCCAGTTATCATCAGTTCAACCCTCAAAGCCCGATCAAAAGTCCATATTAGTACCCCTGCTAAAGTAGTATGAGCAAGCTATGGCATGGAGGATCACCAATATCCAGGGGATCATCCCTTCTTTTTGTTCTCACTGGATACTGTTGGAGGATGAGATTCGACCGGTGAGACAGCCCCAAAGGAGATTGACACTGGATCTTGAGGCCGTGGTCCGAGCGGAGATTATCAAGTTGATGGATGCAGGAATGATCTTGGCCATTTCTGACAGTGAGTGAGTCAGTCCCAATCAGGGGGTGTCTAAGAAGGGTGGGATGAATGTGGTCCCAAATGAGAAGAATGAGCTCATACCGATGAAAATGGTGACTGGGTACCGTGTCTGCATCGACTATCACCGCCTCAATGATGCCACAAGGAAGGATCATTTTCCTCTGCCATTCACTGACCAGATGCTCGAGAGGTTGGCGGGGCATGAGTTTTACTATTTCTTGGATGGGATTTCCGGGTATTTCCAGATTCCCATAGCACCGGAAGACCAGGTGAAAAACACCTTCACCTGCCTTTTCGACACATTTACCTACCGGAGGATTCCATTCGAGCTTTGCAATGCCCCCGCGTCGTTCCAGAGGTGTATTCTTGCCATCTTTGACCGTCTGGTCGGAGAAATCATGGAGGTGTTCCTAGATGATTTTTTGGTTTATGGAGACTCATTCTCTCATTGACTCCATAACATGGAACTCGTCCTAAAAAGATGTGAGGAGACGAACCTGACACTGAGTTGGGATAAATGCCACTTCATGGTTCGAGAAGTCATAGTGCTAGGGCTTAAGATTTCGAAGATGGGAATTGAGGTGGACAGAGCCAAGATTGAAACGATCAACAAGCTGCCTCCTCCCACTTCTATGAAGGGTGTTCACAGTTTCCTGGGCATTGCAGGTTTTTATCGGTGGTTCATCAAGGACTTCTCAAAGATTGCCTTGCCATTGATGAAGCTCCTTGAGAAGGATGCCCTCTTTCATTTCATTTACACGTGCACAGAAGCATTCACGACCTTGAAGGAGAAGCTCACTCATGCTCCTATCATGGTCAATCCTGATTGGACCATAACATTTGAGCTTATGTGCGATGCGAGTGACTTCGCACTTGGAGCTTTCCGGGGGCAGAGGCAAGATCAGCATTTTCGGTCAATCTATTATGCATCAAAGACCCTTAATGATGCCCAGGAGAATTACCCCACCACAGAGAAGGAGCTGCTAGCTGTGGTGTTCGCCTTCGAAAAATTTCTCCCTTTTTTAGTCCTGTCCCACGTGGTAGTATATATGGATCACACCACCATTAGATACCTGATGAGAAAGGCTGACGCCAAGCCTCGGCTCATGCCTTATATGATGGATCTTGTTGCTACAGGAGTTCGACATTGAAATCTAGGACCATAAAGGAGCCAAAAATGTTGCTGGTGATCATCTCTCCTGGTTGGACGCCCCTCATGCGGACAACTTCTTGGAAGAGGTCAACAACTCCTTTCCAGATGAGCGACTGATGATGATGTTTATGGTGGAGATTGTCACCTCTTGGTTCTCCCATTTCGGAACTATCTTGTTGGCCAGCAGCTGCACGAGGGGATGACGACTCATGTGAAGAGGAATTTTTTCTCCGACATGAAGCACTACTTTTGGGATGATCCGCATCTCTTTAGGATCGGACCCGATGGGGTCATTCGTCACTGTGTCATGGATAATAATATGGAGAGTATTCTCTCTCATTTCCATGAAGTACCTATTGGAAGGCACCATAGCGGTAACCGCACGGCGAGGAAGATACTCTAGTCGGGCTTTTGCTGGCCCTCGCTTTTCAAGGACACTGACGCCTTCGCACGAAGGTGCGATCGATGCCAGAGGTTAGGTAACATTTCTGCCTAGGATGACATGCCCCAAAACGTGTTTGTTATTTGTGAAATTTTTTGATGTCCGGGGTATCGATTTCATGGGCCCATTCTCTCCATCTTTTGGTAACATGTACATCCTAGTTGTTGTTGATTACGTCTCTAGGTAGGCAGAAGCACATGCCTTGCCCACCAATGATGCCAGACGTGGTTGTCACTTTCTTAAGCAGTTGTTCTCTCGTTTCGGGATGCCTAGAGCCATCATTAGCGACTAAGGCACCCACTTTCAGGTCAATTTGATAAGCTCTTCTCTCTCTTTGGTGTCACTGACAAGGTGTCCATAGCCTACCACCCCCAAACCAGGATTCAGGCCGAGCTGAGGAATCGGGAGGTTAAGCGCATAATTGAGAAAACGGTGGATCAATCCCCCAAGGATTGGTCCACCAAGCTCGATGATGCTTTGTTGGAATATCGAACTGGCTACAAGACGCTGATTGGTACTTCTCCATATCGGCTCGTCTATGGAAAGGCATGTCATTTACCCATCGAGCTAGAGCACAAAACCTTTTGGGCCCTTAAGCTGTTGAAATTCGATGTGAGCCTTGCAGGTGTTGAATGCAAGATGTAGATTCTGGAACTGGAGGAATGCCGTTATCGTGATTTTTAGAACACCAAGCTGTACAAGGAGCGGACGAAGCGTCTCCACGAGGCTCGTTTGAAGAGCCCAAAGGAGTTTCAGGTTAGCGATCGAGTTCTTTTGCATAACTCTCGCTGAAACTCTTTCTTGAAAAGCTCCGCTCCAGATGGTCGAAACCGTACACGTTCACGCAGGTGTTCCCGTATGGGACTATCGAGATTGCCACTCCGCAAACTACATCGTTTAAAGTGAATAGGCATCGCCTCAAGCTTTACTTGAGAGGCGAGGTCGAGCGCGCGGAGTTGAAATTTGAACTCACGGACCCTTAGTTCCACTGGCTACGTCTAGCTAAAGACGTAAAAGAAAGTGCTTGTGGGGAGGCAACCCCAACATGGTTTGCATTTCTTTTCCTTTCTTCTTTAATTTTTAGTCTTTGAATCGTGTCGTGTGTGTCGAAGGGGCTGGATGCTTCATTTTCATGGAAAAATGTCAAATCCGGAGTTGCTGCGGCGTTGCACGCATATGCCACATGATATCATGGCCATGTCATTTCCAGACTTGGTCGTGTGACCTCTCTGGAAATTACGTACGGGCAAAGAGGACTGTCGCACGGCCGCATGGATTCCTCGGCCTGCCTGTACGGGATCCTCAGCCTCACACGACCATGTTTTGCGTTGTCCTGGCCGTGTGGCGTTTCTGGAAAATACGTACGGACAAAAGGGAGCGTTGCAAGGCCGTGTAGATTCCTCGGCCTGCCCGTACAATTCTCTCGACCATGCACGAGCAAGTTTTTATACGACATGGTCGTACGGCCTGCACGTGCGGCATCCCCCAAATGCCTATAAATAGACCCTATGACCATGCAACTCATTTTTAACCCTTCTCTCGCCGGAATTCTCTCCCCCTCGCTAGAAAACCGCGATTTTTCAATCTCTTGGTCAATTTTTTGGCCCTTTTTGGTCATTTTTCGTGAAACCAACCCCAGACCTAGTCTTTCCTCTCCTCCACCTCACCGACCTCTCCCTTCATTTTAGGGCGATTTGGGTCGGTTTTGGGTTGCTGGAGGTGATTTTTAACAAGGCTCCGACTAGCATTTCCGAACAGAATTTTGAGTCTCCATGTTTGATTTTTTCCTTTTCATTGTGAATTATGGAGACTTGGGTGGACGGTTAGGTAAAGAATCATATTGAAATGCATGATCTGGTAGAAATTGACAGAGGGGAAGGCTTGGTTTAGGTGTTGAATATATTGTGGCATGTTTATATTGCTTTATTGAGCCCTTGTGTGCTAGGAATACCCAACTTCTATGATTGTTTTGTTCATGCACACAAGGTGTTCGATAAAATGCCTCTTTTTCATACCCTTTTGTGGGGGCTAGTTGAGGCCCTAAATGACGTGATTCGAATGTGTGTTTGGTATGGTTGTGAACCTCATGTTACCTACTTTACTGTCTGGAGAAACCCTCATCTTGACTATGCTTCGTTGTTTGAGTTTTTACCTTGTGAACTATGCATGGCACCATGGTCCAGATATTTTTGAACTCAAGTGTGGGGGTGTACTAACCTTCACCTGGCTGTTTTGTTGGCTCCACTTTGGTTCTTTGTCTTTCAGGATCATGTCGAAGCCCAACCTTAAGCATCAGTTCATCCAAGATCTAAAGTCAAGGCCCCACAAACCCCAATATAAGTGAGTGCTGGAGGCTAAGTTTGGCAAGCACCATTTCTAGAGCAAGCGGGCATTGTAGAGCATCAATTGCTATAACTCCTTCCAGAATGTTGCTCGCAACCGGATGTGGTGTCACCTGCTGGCCTTGCATGAGCGGGTATATTATGAGTTGGTGATCAAATTCTACTCCACCTTCGACCACGCCGAGACCACCGATTGGAAGAACTATGGAGCTATCAAGTTCAGGTTGAGTGGAGATTACCACTACATGAGCTACCACGATTTTGCTGCTTTTGCCCTCGTGCCCGACTACACTGATAACTTCGTCGTCGAAATCGCCAACCCAGACATTGTCTCTTTCCCGACCTGCTACCGCCAGCTTGCTTAGTCATCCTACGAAACCGCCACAGAGGGTTTCACCACCGGTCGGACGAAGGCCAACACGCTACAGATAGAGTATCGTCTTTGCAACACTTTGTCATGAGTCCTATGCTTTGAGTAGCGAGATTGCCAGCACCCTGACCAAGCGGTCCCTCTATTCTATCTAGACGATCTGCACCGCCCACCACAAGCTGCATTTGGGATCCATTTTGGCGAAGACTTTCGCCAAAAGTGTTGTGATTCTGGGAACCCTCCACCGCCCCTCATCACCGTGGTGGCCACCCACCTTCATATCGGTTATCAAGATTGCACGGACCAGGGCGAGACATGGTTTTTTGGGGAGGACACAGTCTCCAAGATGCGGCTGCTTCGAGTGTTCCGTGGAGTCAAGTCGGCCAATCTATTATTTTAGAACCCACACCCACCCACAACATAATGGGTGGGTCATTTGTGGGTGGTTTTGGGTGGATTGGTGGGTTCAACCACCCAATAACCACCCTTACTTGCATGCATCTTGCATCTTGGCTATGTTAATTGTACTTTTTGAAGACATGTTTAGTATCAGCTTGTTTTCTTACTTACATTTTGCAATTTGTAAGGTGTACTACATAGCAATGGGATGTTGTCTTGCTCAACTATGGCTGAAATTGTGAAGAAATGCTTCAACGATTATTCATTTAGAATTTACTGCATTTGGTTGCAGGTGGTCTAGGCAGAAGGAGAGCTGGAAGTTACCTAGCATGAACTCAAAAAATAAATCAATTTTTTGCTCCCTAGAATAAATTCTAGGTCCTAGGGTTATTGCTTGGAGAAAGTAAGAAAATAACGCAACCATGGTTTCTTACCTCTTCAAGAATTATCCTCCTTATCCTCAAGTTCCTAAACTTTCTCTAATTCTCTTAGGTTTCGGAATTTTAAATGGTGATGGTGGTGGATGGTTATGGTGGTTTGTAGAGAGGAGAAAGGAAGAACTAAAATGAGAAGAAGAGAATGGGGAGGAAAATGAGAGCATATTTTTCTCTTCCCCTTCTCTATAATTCTCTTCCTTCTTCTCTCCTTCCACCAATCACAATGGGCCACATGCCCAAGTCTTATAGCCTTACCTATTCCACCCAAACCTTTCCATTTCTTTCAATTTGATCCTTCTTCCACCTCAATCAATATCAACTCCACAATATTCATTTCCATTAACTTCTAAATTAATTCACTAACCTCTTATACTACCATAATTACTCGATTCTTGGCTTAAGGAATGATATGCTTATTTTCTTCATTAATGACATCATTATGAGTTAATCACGCTTATAATAAGGGTAAGGATGTTACAAGATATGTATTGAATTTTCATTGAAACAATATTTTCTTTAATTAGTCAAGGTAAAAAGTAATTGTTAATATTTAATTACTTAGTAATGTTAAATTAAAATGAACTGTTGAGGGTAGTGATAGTTATGAATATTGTTAACTAAAGGTGATGTGATTCTCGCCATTGGGAACATACTCGACCATTTAGCCAAAATCCCCGATCGGGGAAATGGAAGGAGAGATCGAGGAATGTGTCTAGTGATATTACCCAGCCAGGACAGCAAAATACCCAACCGGGTATTTAGACCGGGTTTTTGGTCTGGCCGAGTTTGGTCTTTCCTTTTAGGTTTAGGTTTTTGTTCCTTAGGATTAGGTTTTGATGAATAAGAATTTTACACCGAGGTGTGTTTTCCCCCATAGAGCATGAGTGATTATGGTTTATTGTTTTAGCTATCGGTGGATCCCATAGCTAGGGCAAAATCCTTGTTTGAGTTTTTCTGTCGAGGATTCCAGAAGAGCTTGGCAATACTCTCATCAATCGAGCGATCACACTTGATTGTGGCGAGTATCTAGCCCTACGTATTATTTACTTTTCGAGTTGTTGAGAGAAAATTCAGAAAGACCTAAAAGATCAAAGTTGCGACAAGCTTGAGAAAATTTAGCGACTTTGACAGAAGAACCTAGGTTTTCACAAGCTCGTGATCTTATCAAGTGGTATCAAAGGCCCGGTTTAAATCAGTGGACAGGAGAAGAAGATTACAAACTTTCTGCAAGCTTTGACAATGGCAGAAGTGTTAGGGGAAGGTAATCTATTCTATACTCGTTGTTTGATTAAAGAGAAGTTGAGTTTTATGCTGGTAGATGGAGGGATCAAATCAAATTTGATCAGAGCCAGAATAGTGGGGAGATTGGGGCTACCAACGCATTTCCATCCCGTTCCATATACTCTGCAACTTCCTGGCGAACAGATTCCAAGAGTCGTGTTCACACAAGTTCTTGTAAAATTCTCCATTGGACGCTTCGAAGACGTGGTCATGTGCGACGTGTTGTAAAGGCGTGCAAATCACCTTGTGCTGGGACAAACCTGGTTCCAAGATCGTGGAGTTCATCTGGTCAGCAGAAGGTCTAAAAGCTTCCGATTGACGCATTAGAAGAAGGTATTTGTTTTGAAGCCTATGACCCAGAGGAAGTTGCTGATGATTTGAAGACTTTGCGACAATTATGGCATGAGTATGAAGAAGAGCATATAGCCAAATACTCGTTGCTATCCATGGAAAGCACAGGAACAGAAGCTAGTGCACAAGAGGTTGCAGAAGGAAGAACGTAACTGCCACAAGTTTATAAGGAGGAGCAGAAGGTCGAGTTAGCAAAAAAAACTTCCACATCAGAAGGCAACTGAAGAAGAGAAGCCGTCAATCAATTCCCCATATCATAAGGAGGTAGAAGAAGTTAAAGTACAGGAAAGTGGGGAAGCTGAAGTGGTTGAAATATAACGCCAAGAATCGAGCTATCACGATCCATTTTGTTTTGATTCTGATCAGGATTTGCGGTGCGCGAGTCTTCAAGCTTTGATCTTTGAAAGCTTGCATTGGACTACTGATTGCTTTGAATACAAGAAGGCAGATGGTGGTGGCTTGAGTCTACAGAAGGATGGAGGTTTTGGATGAGAACCTTCAAGTTTGGATGCCGCTGGAGCAACCAATTATGTTTGGGAACCTGGATGGAGGTTTCACGAAAACATTCATGTTGACTTAAGCTTCGACACTCATGATTTGGAGCGCAGGTTTGATTGGTTATTTGCGCTCTTGATTCCTTCGGATTGTGGAGAATGTTTGTTCTTTTGTGGTGCTGATTATACATGAAATTTCATTTGAAAGCCAGGATGAAAAGCTTTGAGAGCAAAGCTTCTTCAACGAGGAAGGGATGATGTGATTTCCGCCGCTGGGAACAAACCCGACAATTTAGCCAAAATCCACGATCAGGAAAATAGAAGGAGAGACTGGGGAATGTGTTCAGGGATTTCCCCCGGCCATGACAGCAAAATACCCGACCGGGTATTTAGACCGTGTTTTGGGTCTGGCCGAGTTTGGCCTTCCTTTTAGGTTTAGGTTTTTGTTCCATTTTGGATTTTTTTTCTATTTTATTTGCCCTGGGCTATATAAAAGGGTTGTAAACAGGAATTTTACACTGAGGTGTGCTTTTCCCCATAGAGCATGAGTGCTTATGGTTTATTTGTTGTAGCTATCAGTGGATTCCATAGCTAAGGCAAGATCCTTGTTTGAGTTTTTTTGTCGAGGATTTTAGAAGGCTTGGCAAGAATCTCATTAATCAAGCGATAACACTTGATTGTGGCGAGTATCTATCTCCATGTATCCTTTACTTTTTAAGTTGTTGAGAGAAAATTCAGAAAGCTCTAAAAATATTGAAGTTGCGCGACTTTGACAAAAGAACCTAAGCTTTCACGAGCTCGGGATCTTATCAAAACGTGATAACTCAGTTGTAGAACATCATGACCAGAGGGGAAGAGGTAGTGGAAGACGATGAGTAGCATCTGCGGACTGTGATGAAGAAGTTTGATGGGTCAGAAACCTATACTAGGCTTGGCACACATGGCGCTTGATGCTCCATCACAATTTATCCATAAGCTATGATTGGGTCGCTTACATGTATGGTATTAAGTAATGAAGGCTAAAAATATCACAAGTTAAAATCATTTAAATCAACCCAATGTATAAATAATTCTAGTTATCGGTATATCCTCCTCCATTGATAGAAGTTGCACCTGTTGCTATAACTTGAAGACAGATTATCTATCATCGAATGGAATCATTGGTCTGGCTATAACCTTTTCTTTTGGATATGGTTTGTAACATTTTATTTTCCAGGTTGGATTAGGTTAGGTCGTCTAGTGAAGGTAATATACATACTTTCTCCATCACTGTAATCTATATTAGCTCAAGTATAGTGGAATTGCTCTCTCATGCCCATGGATGTAGCTAACACACATCGTGTTAGTAAATCACATAGATCCGTGTGTTCATTACTTTCTTGAATTTGAGTCTTCTGTCATACTTCAAAAGTATTTACTATTTTGACCGAAGCTATGATTTTGTTGACAATACTATAGCGGGTAAATTGCAAGGTTGGCCATTGGGATTAATAAAAAAATTCATGTTTGCTACCTAGAAATATTTAATTCCATTAATGATCACTAAAATTAGTACTTAAACAGTTCAATTTGGTCACTCTCCATTAATAACGTAAGTTTTTTGCTTACGTGACTAACAAAACTGTAAAGTCAACTAAATTTGACACGCCACGTCATAAAATTCAACACGAGAAGTCAGGCAAATTCTACACATATTTATCATCTTTTGACCTCTCTAAAATTATTTTTCTATTCCAAATAAATTTTACGGCTCTATCTTTTTGTTAGTTAGACTTAATTATTCATTTTACTATATTTATAATTCATTTTTGAAGTATTTTCTATATGTGTTATTGTAAAAGAGTTAAATATCGAACTTCTATTTTCATATAACATATAAGAGTGGGTCGCACTGCCCCGCGGGGGTATAACCTGGCCTGACCCGCACTTAGTTCGGAGCGAGTATGGGTATTGAGGTATACCGTTTGGCTTCAACCTTAATAGTGGCTACACCGCTTGTCTTCAACCTATTCATCCTAATTAGTTCGAATGTTTTAAGTTCAAACTGTATGATAGCAAGTAGCAACCCCGTATATTCGTGGACAAAGAATTGAGATCAACTGTCAAATGATTGTTCTCTTGGCTCAGTGTGCCCGTCGAGGATGTGTTTGGGGTTCGGATAGCTTTATTGCGTCTCGATCATTTCTTACTACCTACCATCCCTCAAACACCTCTCCTACTCATGGAATAGTATGATAAGGACCAAAGGTACCTTTTAGCGATTCATGAGACCTCATAGCTCTCGTTTGCACCCAACATGTGTTGCAACCTAATGTAGAGTGCAGGCTGGGACGTGGTGCTCCGGCTAAGACGAATTCAAACATCAATTTCCCCACATATGACCTTGAAAGGGAAGGCTATGATTCATCCGCTCTTGGTCGTGAGGGTGAGATGCTATTATGCAATGAAAGAAATTGCAAGAGTTCGGTGCAATGTGCATGAACGGAGAAAAAGGAGACCAAAAAATGACAATTTCTACACCAAAAGAAAGAATAAAAGACCCGATTATAGTTCTATTAGTCGTTTGTTGTTGGAGAATCCCCCGCATTTTGAATGATCGGCCTAAGGTAGTAGATATGGTCGTCACACGAGAGTTTATGCTGGCATAGTAGGAAGGCAGTAGCGTTCATTCATTCCCGTATACTCTTATCTATGCAAT